TATCCCCGATAGAATGTTTATACTCAAGGGAATTCTATCTTCTTGGAAGATTACAACCATAAGGGCAATCTTCAAGATCTTCAATAATGGATTCGCTTCCGCAAATCTAGTATTTATTTTATTCTTGATAGTTTGGCATGATTATATCCTGGTTTGATTTCACATTTATTTATGGTTTGGTTCTAACAGGAAATTCTTACATGTTTATTCATATCATAGACGTCCTCAACGAGCCTATATTATGGAGTGCGTAGAATTTTATCACGATTTCTCCAAATTTAACTTTGCATAGGCGTGCATGCAAATTGCTTTTGGAATCAACAAACACATGTTTGTTAATTACTTTTGGCATTGAGGGAGAATTTCACTTTAACATGGAATTAAAAAAATCTGACTTCATTCGTCTTAGATTAAAATCATAAAATAAAATATAAAATATGTCTTAAGATTATTAGAAAATATGTTAATTAAAAATAATAATTAAATATTATTATTGAATTGAAAGAAACGAGACAAATAAAGAATTAAAATAGAGAAATTAAATTGTTTAATCTTATGTAGATAGTTTCCTTAAGAAAAATTTGTCCTCTCTTTGGTGTTTGAGTAACTTTGGACATCGGTGTAACGCCTCAAATCTCAGGTTATAAATTTTGGGTTAATACGAGATGGTTTACACAAGCTCATTTACCTTATTAAAGAGCTTATTACATATGAGTTATGAGTTGGGCTTGGTTTGGTCCCATTTGATATTAAAAAGGACAAACTTTAATATTAGGATAAAAGGGAAATGACTAAAATTACAATTAGACCAATTTTTAAAAACAAATGCTGAAAACCCATTAATTTGGGTGATCTCATGTCTGTTCCTCCCTTTTTCACCACAATACCTTTTGTCTTCTTCATTTCTTCTCCATTTCCTTCCTCTCCAAGAACTAAGTAAATGTCAAATTTTTGTAGTCCTACAAGCTTTGTTCGAGTTTACAATTGTAAGAATCTTCATATCCATCTTTAGAGCTTCAATTCAAGCCTCCTAACACAAGTTTTAAACCATGGTAGCTATAAAAAGGTTTTAGTGAGGGTTTAAGAAACCAAGTGTTTCCAACTCATTTTTAGTTGATTTAAGTGTTACAAAGTGTCCTTAACTTCAATTTAAGATCCTAGATGATTTCGTAACTCATTTACCTTGTATCTGATTAGTGAAAGAGGTGAGAAAAAGCTTCAAGACTAAAGGAAAGAAGAAATTGGCCCTTTTATACCATTTGTGAGTCATTAAAATGCATCTAGCTAGTAAGTATTGAGTTGTGAAGCATGAATGAAAATCTATGGTAGATTTAAGCATTTGGTTTTTATAACGTGTTTAAAGACCTATTATGAGTCCTTATTTCATACATAAAACTTTAAGAACTTTTGGGAACCTCACCAGTGCAGTTGGGGTAGATTAAGAATCTAGGTTTGGGTATCATTACTGTTTATCAGCTAGCTTAAAAATAAGGGAGTTTGGGAAGGGATGTATCGATACTTATCCAAGGAGTATCGATATTTTTGGTCGGGTTTCAATACTCATCGGAGTATCAATAGCTTAAAAAATACTGAGCACACTTGCAGATTCAGTATGCCATTTTGGTATCGATACTCATGGGAGTATTAATACTGAGGGTAGAGTATCAATACTCCAGTAGGAATATTGATACTGAGGTATTTTTCAAAACATCAAAGCAACAATTGTTATCGATACCCCGTATATTATCGATATCCTAGCTCAAGTGTATCAATACTACCTTTCTTTCTCAACTTGTAATCACCATGTAAGTATGTGTACCCAAGGGAAAATATCGATATTTATGGGTCAATACCAACATTAAAGGGGCTTAGTATCAATACCATCACACATTTTTGGGCAAGGAACCCAATAGATTTATAAATAATATTGAGGAACCCAATGTAACTAAAACACCATCAAATAAAAATACAAGTGAGAACCTTGTTAGTACACAATTACAGCTAGAAACAATATTAGCTAGAATGACATAAAACTAGCCTTGGTTTATGCTGGGGAAACGGTCAGGACACCCTAATTACTTTAGTAGATGATGATAGTTTTGAGGTATATAATATCCAGATATCCTTAAGCAAGTGCGCGAGGAACTTTGAGACTAACTAGGGCACGAGACAATATACGAGTAACCCTCCGACCACATCATGATGTCTACCCTAGTGTGGAGTGCAGTATATGAGTATACTCACTTCTTTATTGCTTTCGTTGGCATGAACATTTAATGAGCACTTTTAGTATGGTTTAGTTGTTAGTGTGGCACTAGGCTAGTGAGTTTAGTGTCAAATCTATTTCCATGTGCAAGTCTCTAGGATGAGCATTCGATGAGCCTATCACATAGAAGACGTTCCAGACAGTCCGAGCAGCAGAGTATGTCTTGAGTCTTATTCTTTAGAGGGCATGCATTATTTATAGACCTTCTTGTACTTGAGTCGTAACTTTATTTTCAAACACTCGACTGTATTATTTTTTATGTTTTTATTTTGGGAGCTCCTTATATGAACTAAACTATTTGTATTTGATTTTACGTTTTAATTAATGGTCTTTGTATGTCGTTTTACAAAAGCTTTAAAGAAAATTTTTGGGTTAGCCCCTCCGGTGGTCCTGTGTGACATTCTACTCGGTCAACCTCGAGTCATATCGAATTAGGGTGTTACAATTGGTCTCCTAGAATACAACAACAAACGATCACAACAGTAATCATAATTGTTGTGATCAGCCAAATACAATCTTACCTTTCCCTATCACCAAAAAGAACAAATTTGGAAGGAGTTTTGAGTTGTGTCTAAGATTTGTGCCTCAACTAACCTATATATCGAGGGGAAGAAATGATTGAAAGGTTAATACTTTTTAATGAAGAGTTAAGATCTTTTGATGAAGAAAATTATTGAAAAACTAATAGATATAATTGAATGGAAGCACCTTTAAACCAAAAAATAAATATATTCAACAAGTGACATTACTTATTATAATAAGTCTATTCACCAAAACACATTATTTACTACAAATAACATCAATTTTATTTAATTAATTTATTATTTTCCAACCTTATCAACGTTTGATTTTCCTTAGTTTATTAATGTGGTGCTAGGGATTCAGGTCTATAGTTATTTCAAAAATAAACTGTATAAACCTAAACTATTATTGTATATAATTACTTAGATATCACTCGACAATTACAAAAATTATTAGAGGAATAACTGAATGACATATATAATCATGTCGGAAGGGAAGTAAACCCTTAATTCAAAATGTCAATAATTAAATAGGTAGTTTACCCATGTTAAATATTAATTAAATATTAATTTATGAATTAAGAAAATAAGATTACTTAAGTATTGTCAATATTGTTGGTGCTGGCAAAGATGACGAAAAGGTTTTTTAGTTAGATTATCCCAATTACAAATATAGAAAACTAAAACTAAGAGAAACCTGGAAATTTATGAAAGCGGTGCACTAAAAGAAATATAGAAACAAACTTGGTGATTTAGATAACCCTTTTCCACTCAAACGGTCAGAGACATAGCTATATAGAAAGTGAAAAAGCTGTAGTTCATCCCAAAATTTTTAGTTTAAAAGTCTTTTAGGTTCTCATTAATTTAAATTTAGATAAAATTAAATTTTTACTCTTGAATTTTTAAATTAAATATATAACTATTATTATTCTTTTGAAATTAAATATTTTATCCCTCCTAATATCTCATTCCGATTCCGTCACTGCAAACAGTGACAACACAGTGAAGAATGTAATGTGTTCGGCCACGTGCAAAGTTACAATTCACGACCAATAAACACGTATCAAACGTGTGGCACCGCAGCAGCAAAGCTAAAATTTATTAAATATAAGCCCACTATAAAATATAAACGATGGAATAACCTATAATAGCATAAGTGAAAATGGAGAAGAAGCAAGAAGATGTGGACAAGGCAGAGAAGAAAGAAAGCTTGGAGGGGCTGCCACTAGAGGATAGCCCTTACGTGAAGTACAATGACTTGGAAGATTACAAGCGTCGAGGGTATGGAACCCAAGGCCACCAACAACCGGATCCTGGCCACGGAGCTGCTGCCTCCACCGACGCCCCCACTCTTTCGGGTGCCGATCACTCCTCTGAGCGACCTTTACATGCTACCGATACCATTAACCGTCAAGGGATCCCTTGAATGCACAACCAGGCTTTGGCTTAAGAAAAAAGCTTCATGTTTAAATAATTTTGTTTGTTTTGTGTTCGATCAAATAAATATTTAACTGTTGATTGGATATTTCCTTGATGAGTTATAGATTTGATGATGTTTTGGGTACTTGTATTGAATACATTTTATGTTGTCGTAAATTTTATTCGATAATTTAATTAATCAAATATTCTTATATAATTAACATACATAGGCTATTAATGAATATTAAGATTTTAAGATAGTAAGTACAACGAATGAATTATTGGATCTCATATAATTAATCAAATATCTCGATAAGATCAAACTATATAAGACGGAACTTTTTTTTTTTTTGAAAATAAAAAGGCGTTAACCCTTCCTTTTCGGAATCATGGAATCATTAAAACGACAAATGAGATTGTAAATTGAAACAATAATTACTTTTCTTTTGTTGGACTTTGTGTTTCATGTGACATGGTCTACTTTAGTGACCGTCACGAAACGTTGCTTCATGTCCTGACATGTTAAAGTTTACAACTTTAATCATGATAGTCACCTCCACCACCGCCGCCACTTGTTTGATTTTCACTTCTTTCTAATTTTGAATTTTATTCCTTTGCACCCATCATGCTACTACCGTCTTTCAATCATTAAGATACATCAAAATGAAAACACAGGTTTTCTGGCCACAAGAGCCTGCGATTTGAAGTATTTCAATAAATATATAATCCATAAAATAAACGGAAAAAAGTGATAATGATGAAAGAAATGAAAAAAGAAGCACGTGAGAAATTATTCATGCGTCTTTTTTTGAGGCTCCATGGACATAGCTTCCATGTGAAAGCTCTGTTAACCATTCAAACGTTCGGTTACATGAAAAAGCTAGCTTTTCTTTCCTTTTCTTCTTTATCTTCAATTCTTGCAGAAGCTTCTTCTCGTTTTCCATGGAGTCAATTTTGTTGCAGTGTTTGCTCACCGCTATGCCATTCAATGGAACTGTTTCAGCTGCATTAACCGAACATTTACAACCACTCAACGATCCTATTCTCTTTCCCATGAACCCTTTGTAAAAATCCTGCGGATTTTTTACTACTTCACTACTTTTGTTAACAATCTTAGTGGTGCTGTTCTTGGTGCTTGAACTGTCGTTACTGCTATAACTATTCCAACTGTTGTTTCGGCTGACGGAGTTTTTATTGCCATTGTTGTTGTTGTTGCTACGAGCTTTCAAGTCTACTAATTCGAGCTCTGGTGCTCGAACCAAGCCTAACCTGAAAAAATCCCACATCGACGATTTCGGGTTTTGCCTGCTGATATTTACTGGTCGATGAGCTTTGGACGATCTTATATGAGGTTTGGGAGTTGGATGTGTGTTGAAGTTGTTTCTGGTTTTCACTGGCTTTGACTTGTAATAACTTGAACTTCCATTTGGAATGGAATTGAAGCTGCTGCTACTGCTAGTAAACCTACTCAATGAACCATGGTCCATGGATTCGGACCTTGACAAGCTATCTTCGTGGCACCATGTGAGCCCACTTGCTGAGCTAACTGAGAGACGGAGGGGCAGAATTTGTCCTTGAAAGAACACTTCATCAGCAGCACACATTTCTGGTTCAGTTGAAAGAGAACCGCGCAGAGAACCGAAGTTGAAATCTTCATCGGTTTTAGTTGCTTTGGATTCTTCGCCATCTTCTTCATTCTTTTGGTGAATTTGGATATCTTCTTGAATCAATTTGACTGGCAGATCCCACGATGACGATGCTTCATCTTGCTCAGCTTCCAATTTCCCTTCATCATCACAGTTAGTTGTAGAGCATCCCATGACTTTAAGTAAATACAAAATTACAAACTGAAACTTCCGTAATTCTTTAGGGTGTTCGTTGGAAGTGCAGAAAAGTCGGTTTTATACCACAAAAACTAGGCAATTTTGAATTGAAGAGGGAGACAAGTGGAATATAAACAAGGAAAAGCCACTGCAAAAGGAACAAAGGAAAATGAACAAGTCAGAGCAGGCGAAGCAAACTGGGATATTTCTTGCCAAGCAACAGAAGATAGGGCCTAGGAGCTACCACACTTTGTCATTATCCATTAGCCACTAGTTAATAGTATATATGAACTCTCGCTTTCGCCAATACAATTGTGGAAGCCGAAAGAAGTTAATTTTTTTTAGAGACTTCAGTGACCAAAAATCCCATATAATATACGATTTTAATCATTTTTTTCCGGATTTGTCAAAATGACCAACAAAATCGCAATGCGATCGCTAATTCGCAACGCGATCTCCATTATCGTAAATTCGCGTTGCATTTTCGCAATGCGATAGTTGAAAATCGCGTTGCGATGGTCTACAGTATCGTTGCGATTTTCCCAATTCGCAATGCGAATAAGTAAATCGCAACGCGAATTGGGAAAATCGCAATGCGATACTGACTATCGCAATGCGATAATAAAAAATCGCAACGAGATACTTACTTTCGCAATGCGATACTGACTTTCGCAACGCGATAATACATAATCGCAATGCGATTTTCAAAGCGCCATTAGTATCCTGGCCAAGTATTTTATTTTTAAATTCCAAACATGAATATTAATATATTGGAACACTGAACTGTCCACAGTATATCCCGTAATCGCAACTCATAACCTAAAACCTAAAATCACAACTCAGTCCCATCTCCATCTCTCACTCTCTCACCCATCTCCGACGAAATCCGTCCCCATCTCCGGCGAAATCCGTCTATCTCCATCTCTCAGAGCCACCCTCACAATCAGAAATGGAAAATCAACCAAATCAACCAACGAGGGTTAGTTTTTTTAATTATTTTCTTTTTGAAATTTTTGCATTATTATTAGGTTTTTCATATTGAAATTGATGATAAGTTTACTGGTAATTTCAATAATAGATTAACCATTTCACTTAGATTGCTTATTAAATCAACCAAGAATCGCAACGCGAAATGCAAATCGCAGTTTCGTGTTGCGATTCTCTCGTTGCGATAGTCATTTTCGTGTTGCGATTTTCATTTTCAGAAACTATTCTTCTTCTGCAAATACGAAATTCACAGTGTTGCATATTTAAGTTTGAAGAATAAACTACTACTATTTATGTTTATTATTGTTTTTGGTATATCTTCACAGTGTAGTTTTTGGTATATCTAATTTAGTATGTTTATTGTTTTTGTAGAACTTTTATTCGGCTCAATTGACCTTGAGAAATAAAGTCAGCCTGGCCAAAACAATTGCGTCGAAGCTTTCACCTGCACAAAGAAAAATGTTTGAGGATACATGCTTCGGGCCATGGCTGAAAGTACAACATCCCGGTGGAGATGCGATGTTGACACACCTGTTTCTTCAAACCATGACTAGCGATCTACCAAAGACTATACAACGTCGTGATGAAGAGATATGGTTTGATTTTCCACCGGCGTATACGTGTTTTGGGCGGGAGGAGTTTTGCTTAATCACCTGTCTACGCTTCGGACACGATGATGTAGGTCGGTACACTAGACACATTACCCGCCCATCATGGCTATCCCGGGTTTTTCCTGAGCTGGAGAGGCCGAGTCTACACGTAGAAGACCTGACAAGATTTTTGAATAATAAAGATGGTTTTACTCGGATGGATGACGTCGACGTTGTCCGAGTATGCCTTCTAATTCTTTTGCATGCCGGCTTTTTAGGCAGAGAGGCCAGACAACCTATTCCAAATGATCTAATCAATTGGTAGAAGACCTAAATGCGTGAACCTGTTTCCGTGGGGCTCGTATTTATGGAAAGCTACATGGAATAAGTTATCGTCTGCCTTGGATGATCGAAAAAGTTTGCATGGCGATGGTTCCAAATACACTTTGACAGGCTTTATTTGGGCCTTTAAGGTAAGAATTTTTATATGATTTTCCAAAATTATAAGTAATTATTTAACAATTACTAATGTTTGTTATTATATTGTTTGTAGATTTGGATATTTGAGGCCTTTCCCGCCATGAAGACATATGCAATAAAAACTTCAAATGATATTCCCAGGGCTATTCCTGGAAGAGGAAACGGACCTTGCAATGGGAAGATTTACTACGGTATACGACAATAAATAATGTAAGTTAACATAAATACTACCATATGTTTATAAACAAGTTATTACTAGTACACGTTTAACTTTGTTTGAGCTTTTATATTGTTAGGAGGCCAACACTCCTCTACAGAGGCTGACACCTACGGAAGCTGAGCTTGCCACTGATTGGTGGCAAGCTAGTAAGCGTTTTTTTGATGGAACGGTTGAGGAGCAGCCTCCACTTCGGGAGCCATCACCTCGCCCAGAGCTATCACCTCACCCAGAGCCATCATCTGATCGACCCGGCTATACACCTCCACAACGACAGCCATCACCTATTATGTCACATCATCGAGCCTCTTCTCCACCATCACCGCAAGATAGGCGACCGGCAAAGATGCCACGACGTTTATCTCCCTGTTCTCCACCTCCACCTCAACGGGATGAGTTAGGGGAGTTACGTGATTAGGTCAATGCCTTGCGTGAGGAGGTCGGTACTTTACGCAAAGACGATGGTGCATGGCGTGTTGAGGTGTCTACATTACGCGGTGAGGTAGCCGCTCTACGTGAGATGGTAGCATCGTTGCAGAATGAGGTTCATACTCTACGCAACGAGGTAAGTTTAAGATTTTTCATACTCGTAATTCATTCGGTTGCTACCAATACTGCTAAACTGTTTTTATTAGTATTTGTTTTTGGTTTTGTTTTTGTCTTTTGGCTGAAGTAATGCAATCCATTCAAGTTTCAATTTGCAGAAGAATAGTTTACTTTCGCAACACGAAAATGACTATCGCAACACGGAAATGGCTATCGCAATGCGAAATGAAAATCGCAACGACAAAATCGCAATGCGAAATGAAATCGCAACGACAAAATCGCAACGCGAAATGAAAATCGCAATGCGATTTGTGTTTCGCGTTGCGATTTTGTCGTTGCGATTTCATTTCGCGTTGCGATTTTGTCGTTGCGATTTTCATTTCGCATTGCGATAGCCATTTCCGTGTTGCGATAGTCATTTTGCGTTGCGATTTTAAGTTTCGTGTTGCGAAAGTAAACTATTCTTCTTCTGAAATGTTTATATATGTTGTCCTTTTAAATGTTTATATAAGTGCTTACTTCTGGAATGTTATCTGAGCATTTTGTGAACTATGATAGAATAATGATTTGGGTGAATACAATGCTAGTTTGAAACATATTTGTCTTTGTTTAATATCATGTCTGTTTATTTACTGATTTATGTATTAATTTTTTTAGCGGCCCGATAAGGTGGATGCTTTACGTCGGGTTTTCCTTGCACGACAGAGTTCACGCATCAGACGGCGTGGACGTGCTATTACGTCTCCGTTCACCCCAATGGTGCGAAGACTCCGCAAGAAGAAGCCCGACTCACCGGTCATCCCTCAAGAGTCCCCTCCAATCGTTCAAGAGGCCCCTATTCTCCCTCAAGATTCCCCCCCACCGTTCAAGAGGCCACTGTCATCGTTGAAGAGGTCCCTCCCACCATTCCAGAGCCCGATTCACATGGGGTAATATATCGAAGTATTGAGAAACCCCCACCGGTTCCGGACATGATGGATGAGAGTTGGCTCTCGTATGAGTTACCGGCTAGTACCCTTCCGGTATCTGAAGTGGAGAGGAGACAACTACCGGAAACAATTGTGGATAATACCCTTTGGGCTAAGACCGCAGTTGATTTTTATCTACATGAGCGGAGCCAAGGGTGTTACACTGACATCAGCAAACTCAACGATGAAATGTTTTTGTTGCTTGATCGGTCTTGGTGGGGTGTGCTATTAGGGGTTGAAGACAGTGGCTATTTGGATGGGGAGGTAAGTCTTATATTTGTCTTATATATGATTTGATTAATTTGTTTAAAAATTAATGTAATTCACTAATATATGTATTTTTTTGTAAAACAGCATATCGATGCGTGGGTGTCACGTCTACTAATAATAAGGAAGCTTAGGAAAAATAAAAAAAATTCGCTATATACAATAATGCCGACGGCTTTTCACGCAGTTCACTTGAAGAATCAACGAGATGAATCATTTTTGTTGGGCAATGGACAAGCTAAACTTTATCCTGCATGGTGGGAGGTCGATAAGGTTAGTGTTTATTTTTTAAATTTTTTAAAGGTGTTCATAAATAAGTGCGCAAATAAATGAATTATTACTTATGATCACAGGTGTTTATCCCTGTTTTGGAACGTCGTCACTGGCTTCTCGTCCAACTTCAGCTCCCATCCCTGAAGATAATAGTGTATGACAGCATGATCAATTACATATCACTGTCTGATTTGAGAGATATTTCAAGGGATGGAGCTCTCATTTGGCTAAATTCTTGGATGGGATTAAGTATTGGAGTCATTCTGGACAAAAGAAGCCAAAGAAGTTCAATGTCACAGTTGTCAGAGACGAGACCGCGCCACAGCAATCGCCGGGAGCCAGAGGGGATTGTGGTCCTCTCGTATGCCTTTGCTTGACGCGTTTGACGACGGGAAGCACAGAGTTTTTACCTCCCACCGATAGAGATAGAGCTGCAGTAGGCTTGTGGTTTTGGCATTATATGGCTAGAGCAATATATTCGAGACGCTGCCTACCTGCATCCGCGTTATGAAAGTGTCCATTGTTAATTGGTAAGTCAAATGCAAGTTTTGTTAACATATATACTCCTTTTGGTTTGAAAATGTTTGGTTAAGTACCTAGAATTCAATAATTTGCTGTTTGTAGGTTTTAGATGTGTAGGAAGTCTTGTTTGAGCAAATGTTTGGTTTC